GGGACCCGGCCGTCACCCTCGAGGGGCGGGTCTGCGGTCGCGGACAGTCCTCCCGGACTCGGACGCTGGTGTGGGAGCCGCCCCCGGGGCCCCCTGTGCAAGTGGATGCACCCCGGTGACCGCCGCCTCTGCCCCGGGAGAGTCCGTGGGATGGGCGTGAAGGGAGACGCCCAAGGAGTCCTGCACTTTCTGCCTTGCCCAGCCCCAGTGTGGAGGGGCACCCTCCCCGGGCCCCCAGGGAGGCCTTCCCTGTAAGTAGAGTGGCATCAGGGTGGTCTCTGGACTTAGCCCCTCGGAAGACCATCTGGGGACATCAGGGACTTTTCCAGAGGTGTTGGCGAACCTTAGGTGATCTCAGCCTGTGCCCCAGAGATGCCCAGAAAGAACCTTTGGCTGGAGAAATGGGATCCATTTGTAGCATCATAGCTCCAAGGACTTTGGCACTGACCTCCTGTGGGGCTAGCGCGCCCTCGCTTGTCCTCAACACAGTGGAAGGGAGTGGGAACCCTATGGGGCTGTGGCCTTTGTTCATTCCAGTTTCCACCCATTAGGATTTCTCATTTCTCTTCTGCTCAGTTGGCTTCAAGCTGGACTTTAGCGGAGGCAAGGGGTTCCAAGACCAGTGAGACCTCCAAGTCAAAGGCAGGAGACCTGAGCTCTTGAGTTTGACTATGCAGAAACAGAAGAGCAAGTTTCTGGAGGAAGGGATAAGGGGGAGGAAAGGATTTTTGAGAACCAGTGTGCCAGGTACTGTGCTGGATATGTTGAAACGTCTTATGTAACACTTAACAGCCGCTTCCTGGAGTCGCCCCATTGAATCACCAGGTATTTGTGATGCAGGCTCAGGACTTTGCCTGAGATCTCAAACGTTACAATGATGAAGTCTGCTCTTCAAATTCAGCTCAGAGAAACGTGTGCAGGGTGGGGTGGAGCAGAAGAAAGAGCTGGTATTTGTTAGTAAGTTGAGCTGAAGTGTCAGGCACGGAGCTTGCAGTAGCGAGTGGCCCGCAAATGTGATGAGTACAGGGATGAGAGCAGTTTTACTGAGCAGGGGACCATCGGAGCAGCAACCCACTGAAACCCCCGGATTTCAGGGTGCGACTTCCTTTGTTGGTAGCCCTACTGCGATGGTGTGATCTCTGTCAGGACTTGTTTGGGAGATCTAGAGGGGCCACCTTCCCTGCTGTGGGACCTTGGGGCGAGGAAGGGGAGACACTGTCACTTCAAGGAGTCACCCACATATCCCATGTGGCCGTCTACATGCACAAGTGGACACTGATCTATGAATGCCACTCGGAACACTGCCGAGCAGTTCTGTGTGAGAGAAACGGGAGCGTGGAAGAGATGAGAGCCAAGTATGGCGTAGAAAGCTGGGACCTGATATAGTGATGCCCCTCATCTCACTCCCCAACAATTCTCTCTGAACCCTAAGGATTTAACTTCGGGCTCAAAGATAGAATCTGGCTTCTTATCCGAAAAATGGAGCTTGAAAGGGCCAAGCCATGTATGTAATTTGCCACAGAGTCATTCTGGGGTGTCCCTGTTCATATTTGTCCTCCTTCTGCACAGACAAACCTAATATCCTCCTTTAATAAAACTAGCGGGCTCCAATGAAAAAGGATCCATCAGATCCGTCATATATTCAGGCTTGGTCCTGTGTGTCTTTAAAAACATAAATACCTACTTCAGAGACTGAGGCAAGGGGTTTGCCACAAGTAGAAGGCTAGCCTGGGCCACAAGGGAGACTATCTCAGAAAAACAGACCCAAATAAACAAAGAAAAAAAACACTGTTCTTCCGCACTGGCTGTGGTGACGTATGCCTTTTATTCTGGCACATGGGAAGTGGAGGCAGGAGAATCTCAAGTTCAAGGCCAGCCTGAGATGCACAGCAAGTTCCAGGCCTTGTCTCAAAAACAAAAGATTAAAAAAAAAAAAAAAAGAATTCTTCTTTGGGTGTCGGGGATTACATAAAGCTACCAAGGAAATGGAATATTCTAACTGACCACTTGTTTGTTGGCTTTATTTTCCTTAACTGCTTGGCCCCTTCAAGGCCTGAATTGTTATGGTACCTCATTTGTATCTCAACAAACAAATTCTGACAGAGTTCATATTGGTTAGCATCTCTCTGCTATAAAGTTTATAGTCCCCTTTCATCTTAAACCCCTCTCATTAGTTCAAAAAATAAACACATACATTGTTTTAAGAGAAAATCAAGACCGAGCCTGCAAATATGGTGGAGTTTGTCTTAATTCAGGTATTTTCTGTTTGTTTGTTTTTGTTTTGTTTTTTCAAGACAAGAGTTTCTCTGTGTAGCCCTGGCTGTCCTGGGACTTGCTCTATAGAACATGCTGTCCTCAAATTCAGAGATAGGCCTGCCTCTGCTTCCTGAGTGCTGAGCAAAAAGGCTCTCAGATATTTCTTGTTGGAGTATCATCATCATCATCATCATCATCATCATCATCATCATCGTCGTCGTCAGGCTGATCTTTTTCATCGAGGGCTCTGAGTATCACACTCCCTGGTAGCCTTGGGAAAAATCACTTGAATGATCCAAGTGCTTCCCAAATCTTGGATCTTCAGTACCATCTTCTGATGTCTAGTATTGAGTAAACATTAAATTTCAAAAGTCAGAATAGTGCCTAAGCATAGCCTGAATAAGAATGTGTGTGATGAATGTAACCAAGTGGCCTTAATCTTCTCAAAAATGCTTCAGTCCAAAGGAAAATTAGAGAATGCCCCTCCCCCATTTGAGTTCATACAAATAGGTATGCATTTCTCACACCTTGGATCTACCGAAGATCCTCTGACCACATTCTAACCATTTTCTTATTCCAGCACTACCCATGTATTTTTTAAATGCTTCTTTTTCTTGAAACATGGATGATAAAGGTCCGAGGTCCATCCCCACAGCCCTTGTTTTCTCCGGGCGCGCCTGTTCCTAAGTGGATCGTATTAATGCTAATAGTCTCCATCTCCTCGGCTACGGCATCTATTATTTTCCAATCCCACATGCCTGTCTAGCAATGCTTCTTTATTCCCCAAATTACTTATTCATACCTGACAGGAACATCATTATCTACTGCATCGTTCAGTCTTAGGACTAAGTTCTGACTGGAATTGCACTACCAGCTTTGGAATAAGAAGCTTGCACTGTCAGTGGCCAGTCCAGGACAAGATGATTGGCTCCATTATAGCATTTCTCCATTATCCACCCCCCTTCCAGCCATCCCCTCGGAGGTCTGCACACATCCTAAGTGCTACTGACTTGCCAGCACTGTGCTATATAAAAAAGAGAGTCCTTGCCTTGAGGAGTTTGTGGAGCGTCAGTCTGCTTTTCTCCACTCCTTTACTATGAAGTGAAGGAAAAGTATTGGGGAAAATATAGCTTTACTGGCTACGAATAGCAGCCAGTGAAGAGTGTGCCTCTTCCCGGGAATCACTAACTGCTAAGATGTGCTTCTTTGGGCATCTGCATGCCAAGCCCCTGCCAAGGCTACTTTTGCCCATATGTGTTGAGTGTCCTGGTCACACACACTCCCGCCTGGTTATGCAGGTAAGATATTGCGGTAGCCCATTGTAACTTACAAAGTCTTTACATATATGATCGCTGTTTGATTTTGGAAACTATCTCCTGTTACTGTGGTCTTCTCGCTGAAATGTTAAGTGAGATGCCGGCTCCTCCTCTCCTTTCTGTTTGTGTTTGTTTCCTAATGCCTCCCATAGAGAAGCCTGCCGGGCTGACTATGACTACAGTTGCTGCCTGCTAGATCTCAGGTGACGGGAAGGAGTTCCATGTTGGAGAGCTGGAGAAGAAAGCGCATTCACTGGCCACCCTGGGCTCTATTAGGGTTGTCTCTGCTCCCTTACCACCCCCACTTCCCTGAATTCAAATGAATATTCTCTTTTAAACAAATATTTTAAGCATACTACATCAAACCAGTCCTTGAGCTGATGCTAATTCCTATGTGAACGCAGATTTTCTTTCCTATTTCTATCCAGCACCCGGGCTGGATTCGTAGCTCCAAGTCATGATGGGGCCTCCATATAGCTCCGTGCTCGCATGTGTTTTTACCTCTTCCTGGAATGCTTTTTTTTTTCTCATCCACTGGGTTAACTCCCACTCATCTTCAAAATTTAGCTCAAGCAACACCTTTTTTTTAATTTTTTATCCTACACGTATGCCCCTACACACGCACAGACTCCCTGCGTCCTCACAGGCTGCAGTCCCATTTGTTCATCCTACTGACAGCTATTAGCACATGATGTGTGCCTAACACATAGTAGGCTACACACACACACTAAGCAAGGGAACGGTAATAGTTAAAGTGTAATAAC